CAAAGTGGGAGTGAGGGGATCAGGCACATTATTCCAATTACAGCTTTGTATCGGTACATGCTACAAAAGTTCGGCCCAATGATAATGCTACTTTTCGTTTTGAGTAGCTCATTCAGATAACCGATCCACCATAAGCAGGCGCTATGCTCCTCGAGGAGTATAGCGCCTGCCTATGGTGGGTTCAGGAATGAGCGATACGAATACATGGAAAGGGCGAAAAAGATAATTCAAAGCTATCGTGTGTGGTAGGAGATATGCTTATGGGTGAGGATCACTTGCAGGAAAAGCCACGAGTTCTTTCACTCAGTAACCTTTATAAATACCATTAAAAAGCTCACGAAACGGGGATTCGACGTAGACCGTATCTTTTTCTGTAACTCTCCTCTGCTCAAAGATACATGGCATTTTAGGTAAAAACATGTGCGTTTTTTGTGAGAAATCTCAGTGCATAGAGTGAATGAAGATACCCAGTTGTCTAACCCTATTACAGAGCAAGATTTCGCCAGTGAACGTAGACCGTCTCTTTTTAGCTTTTCTCTTTCTTTCAGAAATGAAGCGCAAAGTGATTGCATGAAATCGGTTGATGCTGAAGCTAGATATGACTTTTTATATCTGAATTCACAAGAGAGTTGGAAAAAGAGAGGTCTACGTCGATCTATATTTTCCAAGCTTTCGAATGGTATGTCGACTGATTAAACATAAAGCTTTCCTGAGTCAAAAAAAAGTTTCTGCTGGATGACCTTTCAAAGCCTAAGTATTGAGAAAATTTTCATATTACACCTCTGTACCACTTATTTTCCTTCTCTTCACTCCCTCTCCCGTTAAAAACGTAAGCTTGCGTCAGCATTCATCTTAAGGCTCAGTTACCCTCTTCACTTTTCTAAGTCGAAAATAGCCAAAACCCCCTTCACCTGAAGGGGACCCTGCTCTCCTATCGCATTTATGGGTGCGAGAATATGGCTCGAGTGAGAAACTTCCGCCCCCTTCCCAACAATGTGATTTTCTGTTGAATTCCGCATCAAAATCAACGTTACTCGTTAGCAAAGTGCTGGAGGAGGCCAAACCACCAGAAAGCACTACCATAAGACATATCAGGCGAAGGGAACATGCTCTCAGAAACGAATCGATAACACAGTCGGCTTCAGCATATGTTGTGCGCATTATTCTTGGACATTATGCTTCTATATGTGCTTAGAATTGTGTACAGTACTCTATTTTCGCTTCTTCAGCTCTTGTTTTTTGGCTTGATCGTAAGCGACTTGACTGAGCTAGCGGACGAAATCTTGAATCACGGACACAAATATTTTTACTGGAGCGCGATCTTGCAAGAGCAAACAAATTCATGTCGACATCCCTTATAAAGCATAATTTTTTATAAAACTTTGACCGCGGTAATGCGTTGAGCGCAAGAGAAAAACGACGTTTTGGCCTTTTAGAAAACACTGAGAGAATTGCGCTTTATGACCCTCACCAGCACATAATTTGACGTAACACACGTCTTTGTTTTTCCCATTTGTCAGAAATTGGACCCCTGAGCTTGCACCCTTTTCGGGAATGAAAGTGTAGAAAACCTGCGCATGAAGGCTTGGAATCGAAAAACGAGTTTTGCTCATTTCTACAAGTGGAAAGGTTAATGATACGACGAGAAGTATCGAGAGGTTAGAATTGCTGTTCAGTGATTAATATCTCCTCCATGACGAAGGCGGTCGCCCAAATAGGTTGACAGCATGCAAGGCTAACGCGCACGCGGCGTGCGGGCAATTGTCAACCACAGGTCGCGCGCACGCTCGCGTGAATGAGCGCTGACCGAGCGTGCGCGCGCCCTGTGGTTGACAATTGCGCGCGCGCCGCAGCTTTGCATGTTTTCAACCTATTTGGGCGACCGCCTTCGTCTTGGAGCAGATATTACAATCAAATTTGTGTGATTCTGAGCAAAGAATGGCATACGTTTACGTGGTAGGCTGGACATCTATTCCCGAAGGACATGCGACACTGAAGGATAGCTCTGCATTTTAGCATGAAACAGCACACGTATCATCTTTACCTTTCCAGAGAAACGATCATTCTGATTATTGTTATTGTTGTACGTTGGTATTTTAGGTTTTTGTAAATTGAACTAGCACACAATTTTGTTTGCTGTCCAAACGGCGAGATATTTATCAACAACGTTAAGTAAAACAACTAATAAAAAATAGTAATTTGTGATTACAGATGGTGCATCAGCAAAGGATCTAAGCCTTAATAATAAATGTGCACATAATTCTGACTGCATTCGGAAGACCATGTACAATTGATTGTGTACTATACATGAAATTGAAAATGGGCCTAAAATGAAGAAAAATTGCAATTAGGACTATTGCTGAAGACGGAACCTATTCCTGGCAACAAAACAAGGCATATGTAACAGGCCGCCTCCACCGAATATTTTAGACTTCAAATTAGCTGCAGTTGAGCCGGCGACTGTTTTTTTTGTAGTCTAAGCCTGACTCAAGCTTGTGAGCGTGAAATAAATGCTATAGAAAGACTTGCAGCAGGCTATCAAATGCCTGTGGAACTGATGTAGAAAGAAAGCAAAAACCGATGCCAACAGAGTGGACCCTGGGCCGGTAGTAATCCCTCTGACCTGCGGCATGTTTCGCCGTCAGGTCGGCGTCATCTTCACGTGAAGTCGGCGTGAAAACCGAGCTCCCGGTCGAGGAGGTCATAGTGACCTTAGGGAACCTTCCTGGTAACTGAAGGCTCTAAAAACCTCCCTAAACAGACTTGTAGAGGAAGGCAGGAAGTGCTGGCGGCAGCTTCGCGAGCGGACCTGGCGGCATCTCGAAATTTCAGTGCTGAGAAATGCCGCCAGGTCAGAGAGCACGAAAAATAGCGTGCTCTTTTGAGAGATCAAGGTGCCACCATCCTAACGTGCCCCTACCATGTCGAGGTGGTGGCACCTTGCTGGCGCCGTCTGCAAGTTTGCGTCATGCACAGCTGCGGACGACGCCGTGAATGTGCCTAGTCATCATTGTTAGACTCGTGTTTTCGTTTTATTAGTTTTCGCCGTTTACGTTGCATTGGTAACATGTTTATCGCGTTTATAACCGATTTGTATATTACAGGTGGCCCTGTGGGGTTCGCGCCACCCAAGGAGCCCCTTCCCACCTTCTGCTTAGGCCTTTTCCGGTTCTCTGGTTCACTTGGAGGTTATGGTCCAGGAGACCTGAAGTGGCGTTGGAATTAATAAAAAAGACACAAATGCAATGGCGAAGCTGATTACAGGCAGACAGATAACAAATCAAGTAGTCGAAAAATTACCAGTTTTTCAGTTGAAGTTGAAAAGATATCTTGGAAACAGACGAAAGCTATCGTAAAGCAAATGTACAACTTTAAAAAAGCAATGAGGAGCAGATTGCGACATCTCATATGACCAGGTGCTGTGAAATAGTTTGCAAGCTATGATCGTTTGTTCAATAAAAATCAACAAATCTCGATACATCAAGAAGTCTCGGAGGATGTCACAATTTGTCAGTGCAAAAGCTATTTAAAACTGTATGCATGCGGGTAAGTGCTACTTATCATATGTTGTCCATTTCTTGCGTTTACAAGAAGATGAAAACCGCGCACTTCCCTGCATGAAAGGTGACCACTGTGAAAAGAATCCTCATGATAGAGCTTTAAATAAAAAAGTTGTGGATGGAATTTCTGCGCTACTTTCGATCCCAATCATATTCACTTTTCCAATTGGTTCTGGGTCATTCAATCTCACAATTTAGTTGCAGACATTTGCAGATCTTGTTTTCCATAGACCGTAGCTGCACCTGTTGACAAAGCGGATATCTCTTGGTTCTTAAATAACATTCCGGTAAGTCGAAAACGAGGTTATTGTTCATGAAAATTACGAAAAGGAATGTAAAAAGATCTTTCCAGGAGGAAAAAGAACTCAAAAGCCGTGCAAGATAAGCACAAGAGACTAATAACGACTTGTCCGTTGTAAAAACAATTTTCAAATGTACACCTTTGTCATTTGGTTTAATTCTGTTTGCCGGAGTTCTGCCGAAAATAAAGGGGCTGAGGAACTAAACACACTACAAGATTAGCTTTCAATCTTACAAACACGATGATGACACCCTGCCACACGCAATACTTCCAACAAACAAGTGCCGCTGCAAAGAACTTCGAAAATTTTGAGATCCTCACCTTTTCACACAGTGATTAAGTATAGATTTATTGACTTTTAACATTTGCAGTGAGAATGAATCCGTATCAACCGCTATCAAACCGCTTGCACATTTTGGTGTAAATAATGGCACAGCTCATTCTCATTTTGGGTCACGCAGACGCGGTACTCCCAGTTGATGCTGCTTTGAGGTAGGCATTTGCAACAATAATGCATCATGCGGGGATGTAGGCTGCCGCACCGAGACAGGAGTGGGGGCGGGGAAGCGCAGGATGAAGCAGATGGAAGTGGGATGAAAGATGGAAAGGCGTAGCTTATTGAAGCAGAACACAATTTTCATTCGCTTACCCCGTTCTTCCTCTGGCTCCGTGGCTCATGAACCAGGCAAGATCGGTATGCTAGCTGGTAATTTTTATCTATGCTACAGGATACGGATTGAAAAATCGCAATTTCCATCAGCTCCTCTGCACTGAAACCCTCCTCTCTCTTCAGGCGCTCAAGACGAATAAACTTGACGAGACTCTTTCCTTAGTGGAAGCAATTGTCTGAGAACCACAAGTCATGCTAGACCCTAATCAAACATAGCAAGTAAAACAAAAAAAGAATTTGTTGATCACTTATTTTTCAACATCAAATCTACAATAGCTGTATTCTGCCATGCAAACATCAACAAAGCGAGAATCGCCTGAAATATATTACAGAGAAAGATGACATTTACACGTTTGTTTGAGCTTGAGATAAGAGAAATGAATGCATTAAGGACATCATCCTGAGTCAGCTTCGATGAACAGCGGCTATGTCATATTGATAATTACATAAAACCACGGGCGATACGATTTCAAAAATGTGGTCCGATGCGTAGTCGCGGTAATCGTCGTGGCATGATGTTGCTTCTACATTTGCGTGGTTGGTACTGCAGGACTGCCTCTTCTTGACTACTTTCTTCCATGAATGGATGAGAGAGAAGCTGAGCGGCTTCCCATCTCCAGCTCGATTCAAGACTGATTTGACACTTCACAAGGTCCAGCAGTGTTGGGTTGCTCGTGTGAACTGAAAGGAAAGGAGATCAAAGGGGCACTTGTTGAAACAAGAGAACTTCAAAAACAGTAACGAAGAATTTACTAAAGTTGATAGATTGGCGCAATGAGTGGAGTTATAGCGCCAACCAGAACAGAACTTTTTCGATTCTTCATGTGGAATTTCATACGTTCTCTGTTCATAAACTGGGCATTGTAGTAGTACCATCTCTGTGATGTTTTGCCACACAGGTTTGTTATAAGTTTTATTTATTCAGCTTAACGTTTTGGCAGTAATGCCTTCCTCAGAGGCTTGAAAGATAGTCTCGCTCAGTATTCGCTGCTTTATACTATGTCGTCCTCCACTTGCTTCATTCGATTCGTTTGTGGACGGTACTGAGTTTTCATGCTACAGCAACTCACCAATGTTAGCAACGCCGCTCATTAACGATCCACCCAGTGATGAAAAATGACTGAACTGTCACACTAATAGACAGCTCAACTAGTCGTGGGTATCTTATAATTGACAGTACGATATGAACGGCATAAGATCGCTGGTGATAGATAGCTGTTGATTCTTGCCGTTCATCTTTGGCTGATGCGAGAGAATGAACGACGCTTCCAATGCTTTGCGAGCCGCAATTTTACTTTCATATGCCAAAATCGTGCACTTAACGCAAAAACCGTTACCGCCCTGATCTGCTCTATGTTTCCCGAGTGGCTCATCGTGCTCACCCGTTTCTTACTGGCTAGATATTCGCGGACGCGGAGTAAACGCCCGTCTCTTCGATATAGGTTACAATCCAGACACTCGAGTTCGTAGACTACGCCAAACTTGGCATAATCCCCTACTCTGCCAGGCGTACAATTTTTTAATTTTTGTCAACTGAAAAATTGATGAATTGGCAATTTTTCGATTCTTTTTTTTGTCATTCACAGGTAATGGCATCATACAGTTTTATCTGATGATTTGGTTAGAGAAGGTTGTTGATTATATGGACTGCACATTGTTCATTTTGAGTAAGAAGTGTTTTTCGGCAATTGTCAACTTAGACATAATATTTCGAAAAAACAGAGAGATAATTCATACTGTTCAAAAGCAGTCGCGAAAAGTAATTGCGTAGGTAAGGCAAGAAGACAAATAAACAAAAGCACCTCAACCAAACGACGAGTGCATTTAGTCTCAAAAGAAAAATTTGTAAAATTCTAATCGTCATTTTGAGGTGATTACCACAAAGTCATTGTTAGTAAGTCTACTGCCGGACGAACGCATTAGCGCGAGAGCAGCTCCATTACCCGGAAGGCCCATGGCAAACTTCCCGCGATTCCGTGAAGTCGCTACATCCACGCAACTTGACGACCACTCCACATACTAATCATGTGAGTATCTGCATATGCAGCTTTTGTTGCAAAAGCACAGTCTAGTCCACGCAAGGAGCGCCTACGACCAGCTGTGAAAAGTCGTTGCAGGACCAGGCGCAGCGATTTCAAAGGCAGTATCTCACCAAAATTTGGTTGTCGGGATTTTCGCGTATTAGACCTCCCCGACCTCGTCAAACTGTGCACAGGTTGAAATCGTATCAAAAGCTTAAACATCCCATTTTTTGAGAACCCGCGGAAGCAACATGAACGGGTTGCGCCTTCTGGCCAACACCGAGAAAGTGAGTGTTGAGTGGGAGGATGTGTTGTAACACGTTTGGGGGAGACCGAAAAAGTCGCCCGCGCTGACAAAATCACTCAACGCGAACCACTTTAAGCGAATTTTTCTCAGCGTAGAGGGGGACAAATCGGGTCGAACTTGTTGCAGTAACCTATTTTAGGGACCTTTTAGTAGAATGTGGAAATCCGCGCAATCTCAATTTTGATGAGACACTGCCATTGATTGCGTAAAGTATGCTTCTTGTCGAGGTCAGGCACGTGGTTCACATTAACCTTCTGAAGTTGATCTGCGCCTTCGTTCAGCAGCAGAATGCTGTGGTTCCACATTTGCTCGTTTATAGATAAATGTGGGCGGGTTAACACTGCATGTAGAGTCCGTATACCGCAGTTTGATGAAAGTGTGCTATCGACATTTTTGCGTTCTCTAACTAGGAGATGGTCAAAGAAGCTCTGCAGTAGCCTCTAAACAGGTGCGGCTTATGAGTTGTTTCATACTGCACTCGTTGCAGCAGCCGCAGTTACATTGGGGCGGGCAAAAAGTATCGATCGATCGACTGCCGTCGCTGCAGGCGACGACAGTGTGAAACAACCTCATACACTCAAAAACGTGGTAAATATCAAAATTCTTTGAAGATCTGGTGCAATTTGATCTCGACTATCTCACCGAGCCCACGTACTGTAAAATACAATACCGCTCACATTTTTTGAAAAAAGACGCGAATGTCACATGATGTGTGAACACCACCGTCGCGTGGCCATATCTCGCTTCAGAGTGGACGAATTCTGCATCTAAAGCCACCATTCGACTCAGCTTGGCGCGGCGCATCTTCTGATTTATAGAAGTGTCTACTTGGACATAGTAGGAGGTCAGATTCCACGAATCGTTTCAGATTTTTGCTTACGGTGGGTTACACAGTGAATTCATTGCACTCACTCGGCAACCTACATCTGAACCGATTCGTAGAATCTGACCTCCTACTATGTAAAAGTGGACATTTCTATACAAAAAGAAACTATGCCCAAATTTTTTTTCAAAAAGTTGGGTAATTAAACCGGCCGCCGAGCCGGGAAGACCCCCATTTTTGCACTCTGACATGGTCCCTGCCGCCAGGGACGTCTACAAGGAGAGCATCTACAACCCGAACCCAGCACCTTCTATATAGTGTATTGCCGCGCCCAGTCGCTCGATTGAGTTCGGTCAAAGTGCATTGAGGTTCGTTGGCGGCTGATCATTCCTTTTGGCAGACTCGCCCCCTCCGTTGGGAACCCCGCCCCCTTCGCAGCTCTCTAGAGGCCTCCTTTCATGCACGAAGTGCATGGATGAGGCACCAGATGACCGCGCAACCTCCTCAGACTTCCACATTTGGCCAGTCGCACTCATGGCAAGTCCCGCCCACTTCGTTGGAACCCCGCCCACTCGGTCAAAATGGCCCGCACGCTCCTGTAGAACAAGATACATACATACAGTGACCGGCAAAAAGTTGCGGACAAGCCGCCCTCCTTTTTTCATCGCTTATTTCCAGATGGGAAACAAAGATGAAAAAATAATCTGATTGCATGTGGTGATAGAGCTCATCAAGAGCTACAACCCACACATCGCGCTTTCTGGAAAACATGTATTATAAAAATTTTAAAAATGTTTTTCTGAAAAAAATCCGAAAATGGACGCGTCACAACCTCGCGGACATTAATTCTTCGAACGCGAAAATTTTCTTTTAGGTCTTTTCTTGTGGCAAAAACAGAAGTTTTCCGCACAGATAAGCATAGTATATTGTAGAACTCATCGAGGACAATAATATGGTAGTGATTACTTTCAAAAAACTCAAGCTTGAATTTTATTTTGCTTCTTTTCAAAAAATAACTTCCATTTCCCTGCTTCAAGCCAAATTTCTTCACATGGAAACCCATGCAAGACATCCAAAGCTATTCGGATAAAATGGATGCCCTTTGTTATCTTCTATGCATCGGACGTGTGCTGGAGAGTTTCTTTGTCAAAAATGGCTCTTGACAGTGCGTGCACATGACCCCACCTGCACCTCACCACTGACTTGCACCGCTTTGCAGGCTTGTAACTCAGCCGGCAGTCATTCTACGAGACTGCAAGTAGGCTCATTCGAAAGAGCATGACTTTCTGGACACGATGATGTGCAAAAAAGCTGGGTATGACAAACAGCGGAGAAATGGCGGATGGGGTGTCAAAGCGCAGCTTCAGTGGTAGGCTAAGGATTTTTCAGCTAAAGTTAGAAAGAACTCCTTTCGCTACCAATTTCATCCTAGGAGTTCAAAACTGCCAATTTTCGTGTAATAGATCCATTTCGGAGCTCTAAGACTGTTTTTATGTTGATAGGAGCCTTCACTCCATTCATCGCCAGTGCTGCGCTTTGACACCCCATCCGCCATTTCTCCGCTGTTTGTCATACCCAGCTCTTTTGCACACCATCGTGTCCAGAAAGTCATGCTCTTTCGAATGAGCCTACTTGCAGTCTCGTAGAGTGACCGCCGGCTGAGTTACAAGCCTGCAAAGCGATGCAAGTCCGTGGTGAGGTGCAGGTGGGTCATGTGCACGCACTGTCAAGAGCCATTTTTGACAAAGAAACTCTCCAGCACACGTCCGATGCATAGAAGATAACAAAGGGCATCCATTTTATCCGAATAGCTTCGTTTGGATGTCTTGAGGTTTCCATGTGAAGAAATTTGGCTTGAAGCAGGGAAATAGAAGTTATTTTTTGAAAAGAAGCAAATTAAATTCAAGCTTGAGTTTTTTGAAAGTAATCACTACCATATTATTGTCCTCGATGAGTTCTACAATATACTATGCTTATCTGTCCGGAAAACTTCTGTTTTTGCCCCAAGAAAAGACCTAAAAGAAAATTTTGTTCGAAGAATTAATGTCCGTGAAATTGTGACGCGTCCATCTTCGGACTTTTTTCAGAAAAACATTTTTTAAATTTTTATAATACATGTTTTCCAAAAAGCGCGATGTGTGGGTTGTAGCTCTTGATGAGCTCTATCACCACATGCAATCAGATTATTTTTTCATCTTTGTTTCCCATCTGGAAATAAGCGATGAAAAAAGGAGGGCGGCTTGTCCGCAACTTTTTGGCGGTCACTGTACATCAGAAGATGCGCCGCGCCGAGCTGAGTCGAATGCTGGCTTTAGATGCAGAATTCGTCCACTCTGAAGCGAGAGATGGCCAGTGGCCACGCGACGGTGATGATTATACTTGATGCGAAATTCGCGTCTTTTTTCCAAAAAATGTGGGCGGTATTGTAGACCGAAATAGGTCTAGAAGCTGAACACCTGACCTGCTTTATCTAATCCCTCCATGTCCGCATTGTTTTCAAATATCAGTTTTCCAGCATCTGGCATGGTATGCCATGAGGGCCACGTCTGTTCGGAGGGAGTTCCCATTATGGAGAAAATCCTAGTGATCTGTTCTAGATCACTGTTTCCCTGAACACTGCATGAGATACATGATAACTCGATTAAGCATAACATATGTTACAGTCAAAGCCAAAAGCTAAGCGATAGGAGGACTATCTCCTCTTGTGATACGTTTATGATTTCGAAGCATTTTACTGAAAGGGGTTGACTGATTCTGCGGCTGAGAGGAGAATGTTATTGTTTTTTCCAAAGGAAGCGCAAAGCACAAAATTGAAAACAATGTGAAGAATCCGGTTTAACAATATTACCAGATATGTAAAAGTCAAAGTCATTGCTATAGGGTAATCGGTCAGGCATTTACCAAAAATTGCATTATATTCAGCATATATAATACATAAAATTTCTGCATGATTTCGTTTTTTGGCTATGATTATAATTCAAAATTAGGGAACGAACCGAAAAAATGGCCGAAGAGTTGATGAGCTCTGCCAAAATACAACCAACTGCCCAGATATCCACAGATGGTGTGTAAGTTCTGAAAAAGCAATTTGATTAGCATGTTCAGTGGATTCCGCGGTTGCTAGAAAATGCTCGAGAAAAATTTGCAGAGATGGATGTCAATAAATGTGACAAAAAACCAATGAACAGCATAGATTAGTTCGAGGCAAACGTGGAATAACTCAGGGACGACGAACAACAAGCGTTCTACTGAAATGTCGAAGGGGACCGAGAGTAGAAAACCTGCATAAGTGGCAAAGTTTGTAATATTAGACACTGTTTTATAGGCGTGAATCTGTGCGAAACACTTTCATCTTAGGGCAGTAAAGACTGATTGTTTCAATTTGAAGCATAAGCTCAAACATACCGACAACCAAACAAAAGCTCGGGGGCGCGATAATGTCGGGTAGCTACCTAAAATTGGGAATTAGAAGTGCTAGCTGAGTTAGAGTTTTACGAATATAAATTACAAATGTTTTTTTTTTTGAAGACTAGAATCTAAAGGTTAGTTCAATTGATCCTCAGAAGTCTGACAATGGAAAAGCCAAAAAATTATTTACATTTTCTTCGTATTCCCTGTCCTTTTCATCGCGATAGTAGAGGCATGCTTGACCAAAGTCCGCAATCTTCACAGCGTTTCGAGAGGTGATTAGTATGTTTTCCGGTTTCATGTCCTGGGATGTTAGATCCTTATTGGGTTTGGAAAAACACCTCTTATTGCAGAATTAGTTGCAGGCAGAGTGTATCATTTTCTTTTCGAAGTCAGCGTTCTATGTATAACTAAAATTTAAATTTCTAAGATGTGAGTCTAAACTAACTCTGTGCATTATATCCACGGAATGGATGTACTTGATGCCTTCCAGAATCTGTCTGAAGAAGAACCTGCAAATTGTGATCGTGTTTGTGTGATTTAGGAAGCAGTAATAAAAATTACCTAAGAAAGCGGTCATCCTGAGGCCGCTGAGAGTCGGCAATGATATCACTTAGATTAAATGTCACAAACTCCGTCACTAGTGACAAGGAGTCACGAGAACAAAAGACGTCAAGAAGATTCAGAACCTGAAAAAAACTTAAGATCCAAAAAATCGAAGGTCTTACCAGATGATAGAAAAAACTCGCGCTTACAACGACCAACCTTAGGATGATGAAGATTTCTTAGCGCACATAGTTCTCGCAGTATCTGAAGCTGATTTCTTGACGTTACGGTCATTTTCTTTATAGCAACAGTTCTGCCATCCTGAAATTGGAATTCGCATAAATCATGTGCATGTGCTTTCACGGACATTCTGGCATTTTTTTTCTCTAAAAGCAGCAAAGCCTGTTTGGATGCAAGGAAGAGCTACGAAATCGAATAATTCCTCGAATAGTCAAATTCCTGAAGGTCAAATCTACCTCTTTCCTTTTCGCCTGAAGTACGATTCCATATGCACCTTGACCGACGGGTCTGACGATTTCGTAGCGATCCATGCAATGTAAGCGACCTCATCTGCGGCAGAAGATAGGACCTCACATTTGCAAGGCTACGACATTTCTGCAGTACTGCCACTGATTTCGAAAACTTACTTTGCGAACAAAAAATCACAGAGGATGTCAGAATAATATTGGTAGATCGAACAGGAGGCATAAATGTTCTAGAAATCAGGGAAAAATCGTTACTAGAACTAACTTGGCCCTTAAATTTCGCACCATTTTCAATTCAAATCTTCATAATTTGCAGGAGGATCCGAGTTTTGATCCTGATCGAAAGAGGTGGTTATGCGCTTTACATCTCCTGATTTGACTTCTGCTGCAAGTAAATTGCAGAGGTGGAAGCTCTAGATGAAAATTACAAATTTGGATTTTTCTGAGACGCGCCAAAAATTTGCAACACGCAGAGAAATCGGAGCAGTTGATAATGTAAGTTTAATGAACTAATCTTTTCAAATGAGCAAAGTTCGTGCTGATTGAGCATTCATATGAAAAGTTATGATTTTGAGCAAGAGTAGAACAGTGAAACTTGAATTTTTTTGGCATTTTTTCGAAAATCAATGGACGCTCAATCAGCACAAACTCTGCTAGCATAAATCGGATCACTAAACTCATAATATCAACTGATTTTTGACGCCAATTTTAGATTGGCGACCTTACACAGAAATCCGAAATTTTGCAGTTTTCTTCTTTCTTCTTTTTGGCGCTTATATAAAGTACTGTCTCTTCCTTGAAGTAAATTGAGACATTGAAGATTCTTCGAAAGACTAAGAAGTTTTAAATTTTTACGGATACTGTAAAGTTTTGTAACAATCTAACAATTTGCAATTTCATAATCATAGAATTGTACAATAAAAATAGAGAAAGCTGCCTCTCAGTTTTTATCGTTTGTGAATTTCTAGTCCCAAAACATTGTAACGTATACATAAGAACTAAAGAGTTCTCGAAAAGTTCCAACTAAACCTGGCAAATTTATGTTGTGACTAAGACATTTCGATCACAATCTTCCCAAAAAATCCCTCCTTCCAAGTTACAATATTACTCATACATGGTTAGACGAAGGTATTACCATAAGAAAATGAATACGTTACTTAATATGGAATGAATTAGTAAAGCCAACAATTATCGTGAAACAAGCGCAACCTGACGGATGAGCAGAAACGGAGATGTTGTCATGGCAACAAACCACGCACTGTTCTTACAAACCGATTTAGCTGAGACTATCAAACAAATGGCGATGGATTATCAAATAAGTTACAAAATGTCATTTGTTCGTTTCCTTGTCTCGTTCCTCGTAGTGGTGCAGTTTCCTTTTTGTCATCTGAGGAACTGAATACTTATATTAGGTAGATGCAAAATCAATGAGCGTTTTTCAAAGCTTTTCTCCAAACTAAATCTATCCTTCAAACTTCTTTAAAACGGATTTGGCAACGGCACTTATCATGATCATTCTAAGAATGTTTAAAGCGAGTTAATAGCCCAATTTGCTAAAAAATTTTACAGCTTTGACCAACCGCATTCATAGCAGAATTTCATTGCATTTGTTTTCCTGGCTATATTTCAAACGCAAATGACGCTCTCTTTCAATAACTCAGCTATATATTAGGTTGTCCCGAAAGTTTGTCCGTTTTTTCAACCTATCATAAAAACACGTGGAACGAAGATTGGGAAACGCTCTAGGCACTACCCGACGCATCTTTTCCTCCTCTTTCTAGCTGTTATGCTCCCATGCCGATTCCTTTTTTGCTCACTGGGATAAACGCCAAAATTTCGAACCCATGGTTTTTACTGTGACCAAGTTTGGCAATTTTTCACAAGCTTCATTTTGACTTTCGGAAAAGCTCTGTTAGTAATTAGATAGAGCAAACAAAGGGCAATATAATGCAATTTTGCGGCATCTATAACTAGCCTTGAAAATTTTTTAGAATTATTTTTCTGATGCTATCAAATTCCACTTTTTATGATGCCAAAAGCCAGACATCATGAAACGGCGCACAACTAAGGTGCTATTCGATGCAGCTTTTCCTCCTCTTTTTAGGGAGTGTATTTTCTCTTCAATTTGTGGGGTCTTTAGCGATAAAATTTCCATAATTTTTGAATTTGACCCCGCCCCAGCGTATACCGTAAAATGCGAAATCTTATATTTCGGAGCGGTAAACGCTCAGTTGCTTTGTAAAAATAGTGAATAATCGTAATCGATTTTTAAAGCTTTAAAATCCGATGATTTGTTAGTGTTCGAGGCGTTCCTGTATTTTGGGACTTCCCAAAAGTGAAGACTTTTGAAAAAAATCATCTTAAAAAATACTGAAAACCAGCTGGATAAGCCAAAAAGTTGCATTGCATTGTCCTTTGTTTACTCTATCTGAGCGCTATCAAAGTTCTTCCAAAAGTTGAAAATGAAGATTGTGAAAAATTGCCAAATTTGGGCATAGTAAAAACGAACCACGAGTTCGAAATTTCGGCGTTTATCTCAGTGAGCAAAAAAGGAATCGGCATGCGAGTATGACAGCTAGAAAGAGGAGGAAAAGATGCGTCGGGTAGTGCCTAGAGCGTTTCCCTATCTTCGTTCCACGTGTTTTTATGATAGGTTGAAATAACGGACAAAACTTTCGGGACAACCTAATATTTATTAGTAACAGCCTACCTTACGCATTAACTTTCTTTTATGCTATCTAGTCTCAGCTATCGGCTCCTTAACATAAGTGATTTTGCGGTTATTCTATGGTCCATGAATTTCATTGAGGGAGGCAATCTCCAAAGCTTTGCTCATTTTTGTAAGCGCAAGGATAAGGCATCTCGTTGACAGCTTCTGCAAAATCATTTATCTGCTGGTACGCAAAAATTGGGACATTCTATGATTCGGAACTTTGAGGCCTACAAACTGTTGAAAAAAAGATGATATTAAATTTTGCTTCTTTTCTTTTCGCAAATCTCCTTTGCCTTCTTCATCGGAAAGTGCGCTGTACTGCGAAAGGTTTGCTGCTCCTGCAAGGTTTCACCGCATCTAAGGATACCGATTTTAGAAAGTCATAGCACTTCAAACTAATAATAAAGATCACAAAACGCGCTCATTTTCGCATCAACCTAACAAATATATTATCCTTGTGTAATTTCCTCGTAGACATTTAATTTTTGCTTTTGCTCTAATCATCATAAAGATCCTGACCCAAAAAGGTCTATACAGTCAGTCCGTGCTCAGTGTACGTAGGGCAAACCTTCAGCCTCGTTGAGATTTACTTCAATTGGGAACATCTGCCTATTGAGCTTAAATCGTTTCTCTTCTAATGTGAAAGCTCCGAGCAGGGCCCGGCACGCGCTGGTTTGGAGCATTTTTGGAAACGAAGTCCCCTGTATTCTTCAAATGTTCTGAGCCACACAGGTTTTTTAGATGGTCTCTATTATCCAATCACGGCCTAACGTTTCGACGCCTTCGTCTTCCTCAGAGGCCTGAAAGTGGTTCAAAACGTCATCCGTGACTCCAAGCCACCAAACACCTCTCCCAGTCAGGCTAGTTCTCAACCTTCGCTCAGCTTTCCTCTTATAAAAATGTCAGGACAGAAGATGAGCGTACCGAAAGAAAAAACTGGGCGTCGTGCGGGCGCCTGTGAGCCAGCTTCTAGGCAGTAGATTGGTGTGGATGAAGTGAGGGGAGGAGTCCCGCGGTAGTCGTTGAGTACGGCGACCGGGGAAGGGACGCAGGAGTTCCTAGCACCTCCATTCGCACCAACATTCACACTTCAGAAGGCTCCTCGCACCTTCGCGCAGAGGTCAGGCCCAGCCCATCGCTCTACTCCTTTATTGGTCTCATTCAGAGGCTGCAGGGTGCGGGAATAGCATAGATGTGCAAATGCAAAAATTCGTGATAACTCATGCAAGGTGAATTCCCTTACCATTGCATTTTATGAGTAAAAACACTTTGACATACCCGAGAAGACCTCACAGTACTCAAAGTAAGCACTGACTGATATTTTTGGTAAGAAGGTAATTTTCTGCAAAAGAATATTCTTCACAGCTTTGTTTCTACATTACCATAGGTTAAAGCTTGCCACGTATGGAACATTGCTATGAACGTCCCAGAACTTTTTGAGGATGTTTTTGGCACTTTGATACTATTCAATATCAAATTCAAAATTATGAATTTGAAGTGCAATTTTCGGAAGCCTGTTTCTCTGAGGATAGCCAACAAAAAGTTTCTATGAGGTAATTATCTTGAAGCGCAAAACTCACTCCTTTTCGAACAAGTCATGAATCTAGGTTTGGATTTTAGTGAGTTATCGGATTCCCTCTGATTTGCGCGAAAACTATTGCATCTATTCAATCAGTGTAGTAGATAGACATTAAGTCATTTTTTTAGTTTATAGAGATTCTGTGATGCTGTATTTTGATTTGCATCAAATTTGAGCTATACCAAGTTTTAACCAAACAATAGAAAAATCCAACTGCCCGAAAGATCGAAATAAGTCGAAAGTTCGTCAAACATTTGGGACACCTGCAACTTGCTCAATAGACATAGTTTCAACCAAACGTACATGTACACTTATCTCGGCTGAATGTCGAGAAACGGGATTTTCCGACAAAGCGATGCCCACACCAACGCATCATGGTCAAAAGATCTCTCAGTACTAAATTGTTCCTATATTGTAAAAGCAACATCTTCCAAATGGTAGATCTCATAAACTCTCGTCTGTCACTTTCCATCCTTCATTATTTATCCAGAACACGAGAAGTATCCTCCAAACCTGCACAACTCGTAATGAGATTAGCCAGTGGGCGGGGCAAATGGGCGGAGCCGTCTGAGAAGTGCGAGGACGCCTTGGGGGTGCTAACTACCCCCTGCAAGAAAAGGCGGCAAGGCTTTGGGAACTCCTGGGCCGCCGCCGTTTTGAACCACTTTCAGGCCTCTGAGGAAGACGAAGGCGTCGAAACGTTAGGCCGTGATTGGACAATAAAGACCATCTAAAAAAAATAAAAAAACCTGTGTGCCTCAGAACATTTGAAGAATACATACGATGCCCAGGTTTAAAGAAAGCGAAACATGGAAACTATTGAAGTCCCCTGACTTGGTGATCTACGAAGCCCCATTGACTTAGAATCAGCAGGTAAACCCGTAGTCAATCAACATAACAACAAAAAAGGGGACAAAGCATACTTTGAGGTATTTAATGTAACAAAAAAGCAAAGAAACATGTTTGAGTTGTTTACAGGCTCTATTATTGAGTACGGTAACGTTTTAGTGCTCAGTATGTCGGAAACCTCCCAGGCCAACCAAATCTATAGCCTTAACAATTTGGCGATGCATTTTTCGCCACACACTTTAGAGGACGGCGCAAGTGATCGGAGCGCGATATCTATCAGCGCGTAGTTTTATGCTAATTTTGGTTCAAAAAAGAGGAGAGGCAACGGCTTGATTTGCTCTCTTCACTATATGATAGAATTTTGAGCGTTTCAATCACTCGAACAAAAGGTTTAAAACTTTGTAAACTCTCCGATGTTTATGCTGCGAAACGATCAATTGGTTTGGTGTTGGTCTAAAAACTAACAAATTCGGGAACGGGTATTAGGACACATAAATTTTTGAAACTTTTTACATAATATTGTCTGGAGTAATATTGTATATCGATTTTTAAGGCTCCTCCCAGGACCTTACAAAAACGATATCCCGTTGGTTCTAACCTCAGAAACGAAGTCCACTTTGACCCCAGACCATCTGCGCCTGACCTTAGGTCCGAGCAGTCCTTATTGGTATTTGCTTGCATCCGCTTCCTTTGCTTCAACTAACGCCTAGAATACTTTGATATATGTCTGAATATTAAGATATTTCCTTGTAATGAAAAGAGAAGCGAACCGGCTCAAAAATCAAATCTCACTGCAGCGGCTAGGAGACATTGATGCAGCAAGAAATTTCTTTTCCCGATTCTTCAGCTCTTCTTGGTTTTTTCAAATCATTCTGGAACGACCTATCCCACACATAGACCTTCGCTGGTTGAAGGGCCGAATATTAAGTTATTGAAGAAAACTGAGACCTCAAAGCGCCCGCACGTAATGTTTTATTTTCTCAAGTCGACTTGTTAATTATTTCGAGCCCACCGTAACCTGAACAGCACCACAATAAATGAATCAAAATGTTCTTTGAAAGCAGGGATTGAATTTCGGACACATGAAAACTTTGGAACATTTTATAGTACAGGAAATATCGACTCATTTCCAGCAGTCAGTTGCGAGGAACATAAAAAAATTCAGATATCAGCAGACTTGTGGCTTTGAAAGCTTCTCACATCACAGATCAAACGATTTCAGTTAAGTAATGCACCAAATTTTACATATAAATTCGTAGTACACCAGTATCATGATCTTGTATAAAGTAGAATTTTATTCTGACGTGCAAAAATTCATTTAGCCTCAGATTTTTGAGTCTTTACACCAATTTCGATATCGCGCAGAATTCGCAACACAACTTCTTCCTTGTACGGTGGAGCGGCAACTTGTACATTCACAGGAAAGCCGATGCTGTCCTAAACATTACGAAACATTAATGTAAGTTTTTTTACTTCAAAAAGATTTTGGTTTGTAAAAACTACCTTGCATGCATCTTTAGCCAATCTGTACCATGGATCGCTCTCCGGATACTCCTTGATTAGCTTTTGATCGTCTTCTTTCGTTACCTTTGTTACATTAACCACACCTAAAACACATCGTCCAGACTTCTGATGGTTCTTTTTCTCAAAAGCTTTCTACCTGCAGCAAAATCCAGAAGGTTGAATATGGCTGTATAACAACAAGCAGCAAATAGCTTGGCAGGAATGTGGTGTTTTGGAGCAGTTAACACCTACACATCTGCATGAGATCCCTGCGAGCTCAAAAATTCTTAAATAAAAAAAACAGCGGTACCTGAGGAGGGCAAAGGAGTGCGTCCAATTTTTGTTCTTGCATAAGCACCACAAAATCCCCACGATAGTCTTCTATCTCTGCATATGTTTCGCGCAGTTCTGAAGATTTCAATTCATACATATTACATCCATATTCTGGTTCTGGACCGACAAACCAGTAGTGTTGAGGGCTAATGAGTGCATCATGTTAGCGAAGCGAGGGAAGAAGTATTTGGAAGGATAAGCAAGCAGTCGTTGTATCCATATGGGGATCATAAGAAGGATAACTTGTCCATAAAGCGACGGATCAACAATGTCCTAAAATGATACTTGAAAAAAAAAAAGTCTATGGCATAATGACATCAACATTTTGAGATTTTTTCTACTTCACTGATAGCACTATTCAGTAAAAGTTCATACACTCTAAAAAGCCGTCTCCTTTTTGAAAAAAAAAGTGGAACAAATGCGAAAACAAGGGCTAGTCCCAAATTAGAATCAAAACTGTAGTCTGCCCCAGAATCTGAATTTAAGCTAAATCTAGACATTTATCACAATATTAGAACCACCGAAGCGAGAAAGTTCAAGGAAACGCACTGTTTACTGGCGATAATTTGATTTGGAGTAAGAATGCTCCTTGGGAATTTCAGATTAGCCTAGAAGGCACTGTCCCGGCAAAATTTCGCTTTCCGCTTTTCACCTCTTCGGAGACTTCTCGCCATGCTGAAGCCATATCTGAGCCTTACAGCACTTGAAAATGGCAAAAATGAGCTTCTTGCAGAGCTCTCCATGTCCACGTTCGCTCCAATCTACGTGTAAGAAACGGCGGGATTTAAAAGTGAGGGAGGAGAAGGGGTACGAAAAACTTCCGGAGCGGATTTTGCGCTTTCCAGAAGAGCTTTTACGCTCCCATTCACTTATAGACTATCTGGAGGGTCTACCATTGGAAACAGTAAAGTCCCGATACCCGTCATTTGAGGGGCCGCTGTCTTTGAGAAGATATTTGGTGGGTGTAGCGCAAAACACATTCTAAAATTCATGGTGGAAGCTTGCGAAAAATCTGGGAAGATTTACAAAAATTTTCTGAGGGGCTGTCTGTCGCTTTATAAAAAATTCTACTCCCCCCCCCCCTTTTTTTTTCTCGGATCCACACTTCTAAGCTGGAGCAATTTGCTGGAAATCGCCAGCTCAGTTTGATTACTGCTTGATATTTTACTTGCACCAAATGGATAGACACGGATTCCGCTTGAAAGTTTTTTCTACAGAAAAATTATTTCGGTTGTTTCTGCTACAGTCATTTTTTGGCGTACAGTGTTTAAGCCCAATCCGAAGCAAACCTATTTTTCAACTCACGCTTAGCAGTTTTCTAGTTAGAAATGTGCCCCCGTCGACGCAGACTGCCCGGACGAAGTGACGCATTGTACGTGGTACAGAGGGTGGATGAAAAGGAACAACAGTGTGACCAGCTGCTTCCAATCGTTCCTTAGCCTCGAGCACAGCTCGCTAAATCGGGGAAAATAAGAATAGGAAAAAGCTTAACCACACGTCACCTCTACCTGTATAGCAGGTATTGGAGTGAACCATCCATCGTCAACGTAGTAACCAATTCGGTATTTTTTGCCTTCTTTGTAGAGTTCTTCGTTCCAGGGTACGGGTGGAACAAAGGGATCCTGCTGGGAAATGAAGTCATCGCGCCATACCTGAGTCCTCAGAATAAATCGTACTTTTTCGACCCTCAAGGAAAGAACTTGCCTCTCGCAAAAAGTCCACGATTGTTTCCATATCCTTTGCCATAGGTCCATCACTGGAATTGATCAGAGGTCGGCCAGGAACGGAGCCGCAGACTCCACGGTGGGAGAATCGCAAGTGAGACGGCTAAGGAAAAGAAACCATAATTTTGTTGAAGCGTAAATTCTATGCAAAGTCACTTCATCAAGGACCAAAATCACGGGGAAATTATATCAAAATAAGAACGATGTTTGTAAATTTGGTTTAGAATAACCAGGAAACGCTGTCGAAAGCGGTTCTCGAGCAATAGCAGGACATGGCTGAAAAGAGGAAGATGAGAAAAATTTACTACCATGCCCGCTGAACGCCGAAACTGCACAACGTCTCAAGTTGGTCCAGTTTTTAATTACAGCTTCTGCTTTTGATGAAACTTGACTGAGCCCAGAATCAGCAATTTTGGAGTAAAGGATTTCATGTTTGATGAAAGCAAGATACAAGATATTTTATCGAGATGATCATTGATCAGTGCTCCATCTTGCTTCTATGAGACAAAACTTATCGTGGATGCAATGTTCTTCGCATCCATAGTATCAGCATTAGGTTATAAAAAACAAATCACGATTCAGATGCAAAGTGCAGGTTGATACAGAACGAGATTTTGTTCAGATAATATATTATTTTGGATAGTTCGATCTGCAATTTACCTTGATACCAGCAATTCCAGTAAAATGACATGGAATTCGAATTGAACCTCCAACATCTCCACCGATACCTAAATTATAGAGCTTTGTGCAGCGCTAACACCAATTACATATTTCAAATTTCTGCGGAGTAAATTTTTTGGTCAGATTACCAATAATGGAGCCACCGGCACCGATGATAGCGGATTCGCCGCCGGACGAGCCGCCTGGAGTACGCGTTTTGTCAACCGGGTTGGTTGTCGTGCCTCAAAGCTATTATGTAGACGAGAAGGGCAACAGAGAAGTACAACCCTACCGTAAACAGGATTCGAGCAGCTGTAACTGAGCAATGATTGGGGCACATTGGTTTGCACGTACGGAATCATACCTAAAAAAAACATACCAGAGAGCTTAGTAAATGGAGTCGCTTACGAATCGCCGACTCCATTACAAAGAACTAAGTACATATCAGTGGCGTACCGGGGGGGGCGGGGGGGTGGAGGCGCCCCCCCCCCCGAGAATGGGTCGCGAAATTTTTGAAAGTTACTTACATGAGCTATAAAAATGTGCAAAAGACTTATTTATACTTGTAAGTAATTAAAATAATTTTTAAAAATTTTTAAAAATTCAATTTAGCCTTATAAAAAAAAATTTTTTCGGGGGCGTGGCTGACGCCACGCCTCTTTTTTCCAAAATTTTGGGATTATGGACCCACGAAAATTTTGGGAAGAGTACCAAAATTTTTTTTCTGAGTGCGCGGCTAAAGCCGCGCACCTTCATCGGAGAAATTTTTTTGTTGCGCCCCCCCCCCCCCCGAGCCGAAATCCTGGGTACGCCACTGGTACATATAGAAATAAAGAGATAAGTATATTTCATAATTTTTTGTTTCATCTCAAAGTTAATTCTTGCCGAGTTATACACTCCTTTCTTTTTGTTTCAAAAGTGAACGTAAAAGAGGCACCAATATCTTGAATAATAGAGCGGTATGAGAAGATACGTGACTTTTGTGAGTGAACACTCCCATTAAACAACTTATTCAAGAGATTTTAGAAGTTTTCAAGATAAGAGTAAGAAGGTCAACGTTTTGATTGTTTGAAACAATTCCAACCTACACTTTAGGCCAACATTCAAAAAAAATGCTGCGACCAAATTATTGAACAGCATTTCATTTATGTAAGCATACTGAGGATAACATAATGAGGGTATTATGAATATAAAGTGAATATTTGTTTCAAACTTTCCTCTTGATAATCTACCGATCAACCAAAACAGTCCGAAGAAGCGAATGAAACAAACCTAGCAGTTTGATCTGCTGTACCATCACACAATCAATCTTGGTTGGAACATCAACGTCTTGAACAAACCCGCGCGTCTGGTCATAACCTTTAATCTGAAAGACATCTATAGTACTATCTCCTACTTCGACATTTTGATGTTGAAACGCATTTTCATTTGTTAAATGATTTATTCACCGGAACGCATTCCTTCAAGCTGATTGGTATTCCAAAGAACGCTGGCTTCACGAAACCAGGCACCTTTGCCTTCTCATCCCATTCCCGTGCCCATTGCTCAGCTTCCTTATATTATAACGTCAAAAAGTGAAAAATGTGCTGAGGAACTCTTACCTTGAAAAACATGGTGGCGCAGTTGGTCTTTTCATGTGCCTTCAACGCTTTCCATTGGTAGGTCTTCAAGACGTCAACGCAAGAAACTGCACCGGATTGTAGCTTTTCTGTAGAAATCTCAGCATTACTCTCTCTTACTGCGAATGATATATGTGAGCATTTACACAAGCTCAAAATCTGTTAGATCGTAACATAAGTTTTGTTACACCTTCTTCGTTTATCTTCGAAAAATTCTAGACACTTCAGCAATGTCTATATCTGGTATACACGATGAAAGGACAAGAGGCTATTCATAAACATAATTTATACCTTTATGCACATGATTTACACTGCATTAGCAATTCTGTGACGACGCTTCAACCTTCAATTTTTTTTCCTTCTTAAAATTCTGTCGTTCTCCTTTCCTAAGTTTATTTTTTGTGGATTCTCGGGAGCATCTATCTATATGAAGGCACTTTGGGAGTTGGAGCTCTCCATAACGTAAGTTGGATTGCCAAGAAAAATCGAAGAAATTCCAAATGTTTTAAAATCTGAATTTTTCATTTGCGATATGTAGATACAAGGCTGCTCCCTCTCTCCCCCCCCCCCCCACCCATGATTTGAAAGTGACAAAATTTTGAAGGAGATATAAAGATTTTATCTGTAAAACGTAACACTTATGTTACGACCTTCTACATATGTAGCACTACCAATTATATGAGTGTGATGCAAAAGACTGCCGTAATCTATTTCACAACTTGACTCATTTTTGAGATCCTTCATTGTAATTCCCAGCTAGGAAGGAAACAGCTCCAATTTTCGAAGTAGGATTTGATCAAGATCCTTGGATCCTTGGATCTTGATTCACGCAATTTTGATAAAAATGTAAAAGTTATTTGACATAAAGTAGATATCGCTGCTGCGATTGCAGTATCTGCAGGTATGTATCTCTTACTCTATCTTTATAAGCAGGCTAACTTTCAGGGAATGGAAAAACAAAATCAGGAAAAACTCAGCCTCACAGAAGAGATTTTCTACCGTAATATCTGTAACTCAAGTTTTGTAACCCAATAAAACTACAAGCTTTCTGACAAAGAATCATGTAAAAATTTAGAGGTCCAGGCTCAATAAAAACTCAGTAAAAAGAGGAAGAAAACGCTTTTTCATAGCTAGTATAGTCGAATGCCGGACAATGATCAATTTTTACAAAGTTGCTCGCGAGCAAATTCCACACAAAAATTTACCGCTCGAGCTTGCGGGGATCTGTCCAATGACTTGGTCCGCCCGGCCGTGAACTTTATCCATTGAGTTTTTTTTGCCTTATTGCACAATTAGCTTGCCGTGCATATTTTTGAAGTACGCAATAGCAGCAGTCCCAATTTTTGACGCAAAGTATTTCGATGTAAATTACGATTTTGAAATGATCAAAGTACAGAATTCTGCACCGCTCAGAATGCTGTCATGATTGCTCCACACAAACGTAGCTAGAATTTTTATTTACAAAAAAACTTCTGAACTGCTGGAATTTCGGTATTCTGATCCGAGTAATCTAAGAAATTAGTAGTCCACTTCAAGATTATCAGAAAAGCTGTATTTTGCACCGCTTACTCTAGCAGAAAGTGTGAGTTAGAAGAAAGACGAGAAAAACAGCTTTTCTAAAGAGAGAAAAGAAACTAGAAAAGACAGAGTTTTTCGCTAGCTTTATTAGTAACGAATGATTTAACTTGAGTCGGATCCTTGAAAGTGGATCCACATGCACTCATGCATGATTTTCTGGTTCTGTACAAGTGATCAATGACGGAAGCAAACCTCTCAACTCTCGGAAGCTCCATGAACCTATCGTCTCTCTCAATTTCTCATCCAGTGAGGCAACTGACTTCTGTACCAATTCGACTGATGCATCACGTTCACTACGACGTTTCTCGACGATTTTACGAAGCTTTGTTCGTCGCTGAAGTAGGGTTTATGGTAAGTGATACAAATGTGTGCCATCGATGAGGATGAAGGGAAGGAAGGGGAGTTTGAGGTTGTGTGCAATTTAATCATTTCGATGAAAAGCACAGCCTATTTACTTCAGACAGAAAAAAATCCAGATACTTGTAGCTGTGGGTAAGGTCGCAAAGGGTATGTATACAGCTTCTGAATTTCAATTCATGCTGCTTGCCTATACAATCAAAGGAAGCCCTCCTTTAAAAAATGCTCACCAGCTGCCATTGTAAGTACTTGAAGATGAGATAGGTGGCCAAGAAGAGGGCGATCAGCAAGATCATTGCCCTGAAAATTTTCACGGAGTGTTGTATGAAAAGAACTTTCTGACGAGATTTGCACCAAATGAAGGTGTTAATGCTGGACGTTTCAATGACTTTTATCGTTAGATACCAAGGATCACATTTACAGGCTGACTATTGAATCATAGGATTTCAGAGTTTTGTTAAAATGAGAAATATGAGCAAAGGAATTTTGCAGAGATTCCAGAAAATCTGTTTCGAGATTCCAGAAAACCTCCTTAAGTTCCTTCTGGCAAAGCAAGTATTGAGGTTTTTCTTCTTCTCGTTAGCTTCAGAGAATAACCTTTGATTCAACTGGATTGGCGGCGCGAAGCCGGAGCTTTGTGACCTAATTAAGGTCGCTCGCACCCGCGACGCAGTCGGCGTGTCTCTCGCACTCGTGCTCTCTGATCATTTTCTAGCCTTAACTAAGTCACGAAACCACGCCTTTCAGCCGCCAATTCAGTTGAATCAAAGGGTGTTGCTATGCTCGCAGCAAATGTGGTATAGCGCCCAGTGAATTATTGTAAGCTGGTAGAAGTAGATTCGAATCCCATCGCATGCTTTGTTTCTGCCTCTCCTCCATAAGCTTCTACTGCACATCAGACTCCCTCAAAGTGATGAAACACTGTTAGTTCTCTAAAAAAAACATTGTCTGAGAAAACTCCCTTATGTTTACTCTACGAAATGATCACTGTGAGAAAGTTATTCAGTTGCGGCCAGGGAAGGTACTCAGTGACAGCATTTGAAGGATGCACTTTCTAATTAAATGTTCTGACAATTAGGCTTGTAGCCGTAGCCGTGATGAGAGAAATCTCGGTGCCAATGGTAATCGACTATGTACCATACTTTCGAGCACTAACAGGAAGTAAGTACCTCAAAGGCACCGTCCACCCAAAATGGGGTCGATGAGATTTTGATGCCTTACAGTTGTGGGGCCCCCCAACAATATACCTATCCAACTCGCGCTGCCAAAAGTTGCGGATTCTGAAAACGGGGGTTTTTCGTGGTTCTTGCCGAGTTCCGACTTGATATTCGGAATCAGGAGTATGAGAAGGCCCTGGAACGGCAAAGACATGGAGGTCGAAATTTTGGATGGACGGTGCCTTTAAGCGAGCCTGATGTACTCGTAGAGCTTTATGTAAATGATGCAAAGCAAAAACAAGCGACAAAATTTAAATCTGCACCTGCACCAGCTTGAGAAGTTGTAAATAAGGGTTCTTTTTTCATTCTGAATGTGTTGGTTGGAGCGGCTCGGTGTCGATTCGCGGCCAGCCGCCTTGCTTAGGTCTCTTGGGCGTTCGAACTCGGCGGATGCGATATATTCCTATGGTTGAGTAGTGGGAGATACCTTACTCTTAGGCATCAATGGCTAAGGAGCTCGAGAAATGCCTCGAAACGTTCTGGAACGTGTCGAATGGCTCAAGTGATGAGGTCGCGAGGACCCGAGCCACCTCGACCGTGACACTCAGATTGAAAACTCTATACTAACCACCGCACTGCACCGTTGAAAGCACTGCCAATCGTATGAGCTCTCCAAATCAGAGCAAAAACGTTCACAATTCCCTTGCCAAGAATGTTTTACAGATATTGACAATCAAGATTAGCGTATAAAATTTATAGATAAGCACAGTCTTGTGAATCGGTCACGACTCTCCTTTCCCTATTGCTCACCATCTGCGTGATAAAAACTAAAGTCGACAGTAAAGTTTGCGTCACGGAACCTCGCTTTGCCGGGAGATATAAAAGTTTTGGCTATTGAAATTTTGACTGCTCGCGGAGTTGAAAGAAGCCGCAAGTTATAAGAGACTTATCATTGAAGATGCTTTCTGCAGCTTTGATAAGAGATAAGAACATTTTTTGGGGGAAACTATCAATATGAAGAGACTTTCGCGACTGAAGTCCACTACATGGTTGACTATAGAGATCAAATGGGCAAAGAGGTGCAAAATATTGAGAAATCGTAGACAGCAGTAGACGCGATGTTCATTGAAAGATTTCATACAAACTGGTGAGCTGAGGGCCTAAATGTTACAGATTGTTCTAGGAACAGTTCTCATAAATCATTCACCGCCTATACTACGTGATATCACTCACATTCTTTTTACCTTTTTTCGAACCATACGTCCAACGAGTGTTAACAGGAATTAATACTGTCACATGATCAACCGACTCGAAAACAGCAAAGAACCAAAACACTCGATGGTTCTCTCATTTGTTTTTGTATTGTGCTGTGGCTCAAATGCTCTACGAAACGCAGCCACGTTAAAAGTGATACGAAACAAGCCTGCAAATGCAGACATTGATCAAACACGTTGAGGTCCGCGTGCATACGAGAGCATGCACGCCCCTGAGTCCGGTTCAGCATTCTGTGCATCCGTACGCACGTCACTTTTTCGGATGAAAACAAAATGTTTTAAGGTAACTTCTATGCAAATGCTGGTCTGAATGTCAGTAAAACAGGGGGCATCGCGGTTGCTGTTCAGAAGCTTAGACCGCAAATCTAAGTGTTTAGTTCATTTTTTGATATGCTATATATGCTGATTATGTTTTCCACTAAAGGCAAAAACTCTGTGTAACTATTCTGAGAGCAACCAAGGATGTTTCAGGCAAAAACACCCAAAATTATAACGCTTTCCTTAGAGGATGATTTCTCAGACAATAGTCATTGATTGATTTATTGAGGAGGGGGGAGGGGGGGAGGGAGAGATGCAAAAACCTTCGCATGTGTAATTCGCAGTGAGACTCTCTGATATACATGCAATTCTGAAGAAACTTCGCATGTTTCATAAGCTCAGACAGTCGAAGGGATACCTCCGGCGGGCAACCTTTTCCGGTTTATAAGCCGCACCTTATATAAGCCGTATCCGCCGCAGCGAACAATGGCGCGAAAGAGCCTTCGAAAAGAAAATTTTGAACTAACAAACTGAAAACTCGCTGCATTTGCGACTGCTTTTCATTGCGCATGTTCACGTTTTCAGATATTTCTTCATTCTTTCCAGAGATTAGGACGATTTTGGGGTTGTGTTTTTCCTCAGGATACAATGGAGTTGATCGTGTTTTCTTTTGTTTTTAAAGATGTTCTGAGGTTAGAGCTGCTGCTATTTTATTCGATTTTATGATTGTTGATGATGATGTTGATGTTTCAATGGTGCTTTCAATGATTCCACAAGAAGGAGCGAAAGCAAAAAGCTACAGATAGGCTACTAGGTAAAATAAGTGGTAGTTGGCTGCTTGCGCGGCTTCGCACATCGCGACCATCATCTCGCATCAATCCGCGCGCGACTAAAATAATTGCGGCTTATACGCCGGAAAATAGGGTATACAGGTCCACATTTTACGTCACAAATGCCTGGACGACGGGCAAAGTGGTCCACGAGGTTTAGAATTTCACGGGAAGTGCACTTTTGCGTTCAATTGCACATAACGAGCAAACAAACCATTTAGAACTTGTTCCGGACATTTTCAAAAATCATTTACTAAGCAGCGCTGCATTTGCTCGCAAAATGGCATGATGTGGGTGGCATGACTGCGCGTGATCCGAGACGAATCCCAAGATTGAAAGACCCCATTGTGTGAGCTACAAAAGTAATCGAAGGAGCTGCCGGGAAAATGCGGTTTCTGGTATCGTTCTTTCGCCAGATTATCGGAGGTGTATGAGGATAAGGAATGAAGAGATTGACAGACAGAAGCAACATATGGGTTGGTTCAACCAAAAAAGCGAAGTGCATAACTTTAGTACTGAAAAATAAGAAACCTGACTGAATGTTTGCAAACGAGAGAAAGATAAAAATATGGAATGTAAAGACGTCAACTATAAGACAGCATGCGCGTCAATACAGAATGGTGGCGCATTGGCGGTGTGATCGAGCGGCAACATGGTCAACTCAACCGAAACTGCAAGTTGTTTGTTTGCTGTATACTCAAGTTGGGAAGTCGACATCGCATTTCTGGTTTCCCTACTTCTAAATTTTCAAACAGCCATTTATTCTCCATAGGTGTTGCTGCAGTAGAAATAGGCAGCATTCTGATCAATATAGGGCAGATATGAAATCCCCCATGGGTCGCGTATGACGTTTCGGCAACCCATTTTACTTCCATCCCTACTAAGTTTTTCTTTGCATACATACCATAGCTTCCGAATACGGGTGCTGAGCTGAGCACCGTGCTGTCTTTCTTAGATAAGTGTTTCATATTCCAGTGACGTATGGTGGGCGTAAAGATTGTAGTTGACGCCGTCGTCACGACTTCATGAGTGCTCCATACATGCCATTATAATCACATCAAATGAAAAGTAATGAAAGGAACAGGAGGAACAGGTGTGAAGGTCATAGCAGCAGCCACTTTTCTATGCGTAGAAAGGGACGCGTTTATGAGCTCAAAGATAACGCCGTCCGATCATTCTTTGCTAAGTGACAATTTTATCATAAAATAAAGACACTTTAAACAATTGTTAGTCCAACACTTTATCTATAGTAGATGATATGTTCGCGTATTCCAATGAATCGGCTTACCACGTTATGGATTTGCGCTGTATGAGTTTGCATATGATACCCCTTTTTATCTTTTTACTAGTGAACCAGTAATTCTAAAGGTGCTACTCTGCAGACACTCTCGTTTCGGGACCGCCGCCTATTTCCGCTTTCTGATAATTTTTGAATAGAGCTAACGATTCTTCATATTTTAGTTCACCGTACACAAACCCCACCTACCAATCATGCACTAAACTTGGAAACGCGATTTAGAGGCCCCCACTGACGCCCATTTATTGGAAATGGGCGGAGCTGGTGAGCTTTTGTGGGCGCTGGGTTAGCGAAGAGGACGCGCGGCAAATGAGCCGCAGTGACCGGTAATACTGGTAGGGAGTATACACCCGCACCAATGGTTTGCTCTGCCAAAAGTGACGATTTGAAAACAAACGCGCAGCACCCTTGCGTTTGTTTATTTATCTCATCCATCTATTTATTCATCTCACTGTGCCAGAAAATATTGAAAGTGAAAGAATGAACACTTAAGTAAATGAACCAGCTTTTCTATTATATAATTGAGGATAAGTGAATAGCTATAGTTGGAATAACGCTAAAGCTACATGGAATCAACTTTAAGACAGGTGATTAATGGAGAATACATCCCATAGATCATTTGTTTTTGTATATCATATTATCTTGTAGCAAGTCGCAACCGCAAAATTACTTTATTATAACTGGAGATACATAAATGCATACGAGGTCTGAGCATTTGCGAAAACATCCTAGAATATGGATTTATTTTCCTGTAACAGCCAGCTCCACATCTCTAAGAATTTTCAACACGATTTCCTCCCGATATGGAGGAGCTGCCACTTGCACATTTACGGGAAGGCCGATGGCATCCTAAAATCGACTGTACATCTTGATAACCACGCAAAAATCGATTCATAGACGATGTTCACCTTGCAAGCTTCCTTGGCAATTCTATACCATAGATCGGTGTCTGGATAGTCTTTGAGCTTCTCTTCGTCCTTTTCATTCACTTTTGTAACATTCACTACTCCTAGATGGCAAAATATATTGCATACACTTCAGTATTTGTTCTGTGCCGTACAGGTTTTTTTATAGTAATAACTTTATTGCCTTACGTTTCGGCTACACGCCGTCATCAGAGACCTGAAAGGTGTCAGTCACAAGGATGTCTGCTCTTTACCGCCAAACACCTCTTCCCACTTGCATATTCGATTCATCTAGTGTGGAAGAAGGAGGTTGGGCCATGACTTTCACTCACCAGTGTATTACCGATATTGCAGTGTGCAACCGCTTTAGACGAGCCCGTTCGACTGTGGTGACACAAGAATGAGCAGTGTGTATGTCACTTAACTGCTTATATATGCTCAGACGATCTATAGCTCGCAAAACGGAAGATACGGCATGAGATCAGCGGTAATGGACAACTGTTCATTCTTGCTGTTCATTTTGGGATCACGCGTAAGAATGAAAGATGCTTCCAAAGCCTTTCGCGCAGCTATTTGACTTTCATAGGCTAGTATTGTGCACCTTATATCGTAATCCGTTCCTTCGTGCTCTACCTTTCTATGTTTACCTAGTGGGCTCATCATGTTCTGTTTTCTTTTGCCAGTTAGATGTTCATTCAAACGTACGCCCAATGGTCGGCCGGTCTCACCAATGTAATTGGCGGAACATTTCAAACAATGGATTTCGTAAACGACACCACACAAAATGAACAGCAAGAATGAACAGTTATCCATTACCGCTGATCTCATGCCGTATCTTCCGTTTTGCGAGCTATAGATCGTCTGAGCGTATATAAGCAGTTATGTGACATACACACTGCTCATTCTTGTGTCACCACAGTCGAACGGGCTCGTCTAAAGCGGTTGACCACTGCAATATCGGTAATACACTGGTGAGTGAAAGTCATGGCCCAACCTCCTTCTTCCACACTAGATGAATTGAATATGCAAGTGGGAAGAGGTGTTTGGCTGTCAAGAGCAGACATCCTTGTGACTGACACCTTTCAGGCCTCTGATGACGGCGTGTAGCCGAAACGTAAGGCAATAAAGTGTATTACTATAAAAAACCTGTACGGCACAGAACAAATACTGAAGTTATCTTTCAAATGCTCAGGTTTCAAGATAAAAGAACTTTCAAGATATTGCATACACTATTTTCTGCTCTTTGAAACACTGATATTTCTAGATGGAATGTGAAATCTGTACCGGCTCCGAAGTCCAGCAGATTGAAGAGTGCTGTGTAGGAAACGCCTGAGAAGAGCTTTGCCGGGATATCATGCTTTGGGGTTATCAAAACCTGCAAAGCATGATTTAGGGTAAAAGTGGTGATTTAGAAACAGCGCTGGCTTCAAAAAACGGTGGTCTTTACGTAGGCAGTAGATGATAGAGAACTAACCTCAACTTTGGCAAAATTTTTAATAAAATTATCAGATTTTGAACATATATCAAGCATTTGTAGGAAATTTGAATTAGTTAGAATAATCAAGTAGAAGAAGTTTCATGCATGCATACGGATAAGCCAGATTTCATTATATTTTATCTCTATCAAAAATTGGTGACCGGAAGGAAATAAGATTACCATTTTTATGAGTGATTCTCCTATTGAAATTTGAAAATGTGGCTTTCCAAGAAAGCCCAGGATAATTTTGCCATGAAAGGGGTCCCATACATTTGATGAAGCTATGCATAAGTAAAGCATAAGAAGCGTTTGCTATGGCGCCCTTGTTAGGAAGTTCAAGGTTGTGAGAGACACCAGACAGTAAAAGTGTCGAGAGGACGTTTTATCAAAGGGATGCCAGAAATGCGTAGTGGCACTGGGTTAATCTACGGATACTCATTACACCTTACTACCTCTATTATTATAATGCTTGGCATTGCGCGTACTGCGTGGCCACTATGCAAATTTTTATGGGAGCCATCTGGTTCATATATTTCCAGTGTTACCTGAGGAGGACAAAGTAAAGCGTCCAAATCGTCTTTCATCATTTGTTCGACGAATTCTCCGCGATATTGCTCGATCGCAGCATACGTTTCACGCAGTTCTCAAAAGGTAAATATCTCAGCAATTATAGTTATGAACGAGTCTTCGGAGTTTCCAAGAGGAAAGGAATTCACCAGTAGTCTTAAGCGTCATCGCACAAACCATATTAGCTATTCGAGGGGAAACATAAGCCAGGGGATAGGCAAGCAGACGTTGTATACAAATGGGTACGATGAAGAGAAACATCTGACCATAAAGTGACGAATCGATGATATCCTGAAATGAGAAAAGCATAAAGTCTAGGATCTTTTTGTGCAACATTTAACAGCAAATATTGGAGAAATTATTGTTCGTAATAATAAAATACTAGGCTGATCGTGAAGTCTTGTACCAAATTTCAATCGTAACAGCAACTTCATTTGATTCCATCTAGTCTGAGAGGAGAAAGTTATGCACTTCCCAAATGCACTAGGAATTCATGTTGGCATGTGAAATAGAATAAGACATCAAATGGAAAAATTTTTCAAAACTTCGGTCGGTAAAAATGCTAGAAGGCTAAAACAATCAATTTTCTTTTTGATAGTGGTTTCACAACATACAACTTTCAGGTGAAAAAACGTGCCTATCAGACGTATTCGAAAGTAAGTATGATTAGAGTTTTGACCGACATTCTAAGTGTTTACTCATATAATTTGTAAAAGCATAGTTTGAGTGCGAAATTTATGGATTAATTTTCAATTCCGTCGATGCATTTAAACTCCGTGCAAAAGATATTCGCATTCAATTCGTAGTAGAAATTTATGTTCAAGAAAATTTGGCTTGATTTTCCAACGAAAATACAAATAATCTTCTTCGAAAGGTTCTAGCGAATGTTTTCTTCCTATTGCAATGTATAGCAAATGTGATCAAAGTTTTACTTCAATGTCTCATGGAAATGCCATCAAATATTCAGCTTACGTTGAGAAGTTTGCCGAATACGAATTGTCCTCCATCAACGCATACGGCTCGAACGTAATGTCTCATCATTTCAGGGACCCTTGGAGGTTTGAAAGGCACTACAGTATGACCAGCAGCCTCCAAATGCGTTTTTGCTTCTTGTACAGCACGCTGAATTAGGACATTTGATTCACGTAAACTTTAAACTAGGTAATTATCTATAGGCTTTTTATCGCACGCAGAGAATACACCGTTGCGTCAGCAGGATAATCGTTTTTGGGAGAGATGGGGAGAGATGGCCAGAGTAATAAGATGCGTTTAATCTGAGAGACGGAGGCAGCTTTCGCAGTTGCGTGCTTCTGCGTGCGCTGTATCGTCTATGTACCTGGATAGCAGGTGCGGGAGTGAACCAGCCATCGTCGACGTAGTAACCGATGCGATACTTCCTTCCCTCATGGTACATATCATCGTTCCAGCGCACTGGCGGGACGTATGGATCTTGCTCGGTGATCCAATTATCGCTCCACATCTGAAGTATTGAAGTGAAGACCAAGCTTTGGGTAGTTAAACGAATTCCTCAACTGCCTCAGCAGATGTGGAACATTGGAACGTTGAAAGGTGCAGCAACACATTGGAGCTACAGCCCGTCCTTTTCAAGTAACCTCTTTGAGAAAATCAGCAGAGGTTTGTATATTCTTAGTCATTGGTCCCTCGTTTGCATTGATCAATGGACGTCCAGGAACAGCTCCAGGTACACCGCGATGTGAAAATCGTAGATGCGAAGGCTACAAGACTCCTTTCAAGTTCTACATCGCCCAATTTGGTCATTACCTTGATCCCAGCCATTCCTGTGAAATGACATGGGATTCGAATTGAACCGCCAACATCGCCACCAATCCCGATTATGGAACCTTCTGCTGCCAAAAGAGCTGCTTCACCACCTGAGGAACCACCGCAGGTTCGTGTGACGTCTGCTGGGGTGTTTGTTACGCCTGAACACAAATATCCAGAATTGAAATTTCTGCAAAGATACAGATAAAACTACCATAAATTGGATTGCTACAGCTGTAGGCAAGCAAAGATTGTGGCACGTTTGTCTGCACAAAAGGAATGAATCCTAAAATTGATTTGCATTCCTTCAATTTATTCGTTATGCAGTTAAGCTTTTACAGAAGAAAATACTACTTATATTGAAGAACAATAATACCTTACCAAGTAACTTGATTTGTTGAATAATGATAGCATCAGAGGTTGAAGGTTTTCCGACATCTTGAGCAAAGCCTCTGGTAGTGTCATATCCTTTCATCTAGAATTTTTATCATCACATTGATTAATTATAATACTTGTGCGATATTATCTTTATTTTTATTTCTTGAACAACTAGAAGGCTATGCTGTCTTAGAGGCGGGATCCACTGTAAAAGGGGTGAGTTTGGTTATCTACAAAACTAGGTGTAGCAGCATTTCAGTACTATTATATTTGGTCTATGTAACTGTGACTTAGCCTTGAAAACATGAAAAAAAGAAATAATAAATTTGAAGGTAGTGTTGGTCCTTATTGAAAAGCCCGTTTAAAGAAAGGTTTTATTTGCTTATTTCCTCTTCGTAAAACTCCAAAACTTCATTTCCACTTCTGAGCTTGACGTTCATTGTTCGCACATTTCTATAATATATTCGTCGCCCTACCATTTTCTTCAAATTTTTGTCTAAGTGACTGTATTCGTTTTGCTAACTCATATAATAATTTTGTTTTGGTATACGATTCTCTACCAAAACGTATCTTGTGTTTTTGACTATTATGTGTTCATAGAAATAATAGCTTAAAGCTTACCACCATATATCATCTATCTATACATAATTTTCTATTGTCAGTAAAGGAAGTTATGCTCCTATATGGTTAAATTTCCAAAAGCTAAGTTCTTCAACTCTCTAAGCTTCGTTTTCATGCTGTGAAGGATATACAGAGATTTGGTATTTGTATACATACAAGTTTTCTCTATTCGGCGAATAACAATGAAGATTGCGACTCACCATTTTGAAATTATTCAATTCAAAATATATTTTCACATTTACGTGCAAAAGTGAAATGAAGTCTCTCATTTCTTTGCGCCTTTTCTTGAAAAATAGATTTGACTCAAAAAGAGTTTATTCCCAAGGCCTCAGTGAAGTGCTCTTTCCGATATCAAACAATTGGGCAAAAATTTGTTGGCGGCATTTGCAAGAGCCGCAAAAGCGACTGAAATTTCATTAGCCAACCTAATACCTTGTTATGCAATTTGCCTAACAATGAAAGCTAGTAGAGAGTTTCACATCTTGACGGTTCGAGAGATTTTCTTAACTATGAACGTGGAAAATTGTTGAATTCATAATTAGCGATGTAAATGTGCTATGCTTATTCACATTTTTGATGCTAGAGTGAAAACAGTGAAGCGAAAGGAAAATCAAAATAGCAAAAAAATCCAAAATAGAAGCATAAAGTCAAAATTTGGGTCTCTCTCTGGGATCCCTAACTCACAGGTATGCATTCTTTGATACTAATCGGAATTCCAAAAAAGGCTGGTTTCTTGAAACCTGACTGAGTTGCTTTCTCATCCCAATCGCTCGCCCATTGCTCCGCTTCCTAAAATATTTTTGGAAGCTATACCCACATCTATGACCCAAGACTTACTTCAATGAACAATGTCACACAGTTGGTTTTTTTCTGCGCTGCCAAAGCTTTCCATTGATAGGTGCGTAGCACTTCTAAGCAACTGACATTTCCCTTTTGCAGGTTTTCTGTAAAACGCTTTATTACTTCGTAGAAAAGCATTTTCAAGAGAATATCCAAAAACTAGAACCGATAAATTGAGTCGCTGACTATGAATATGGAATTGGCACATACCGTAAAAACTTTCTCTCATTTATTAGGCCGGGTAAACTGCAGTAATGTTGTTTCTGTGTTTTTCAAAAATGTGTTAAAAACTATTTAATCCTTTTAAAAAACTTGTAAAAGTTGTGTGAAATTGGCATGTCAGAATTCATCCCAGCATAACTTTTTTTTAGAATTTTTTGAAACTTTTCTACAACGGCCTATTTCAAATGGCGCTGTATAGTGAAGATTCGTATCGTAATCCTACGGTAATGAAGAGCGATGAGTGATTTGCTCCAAAGTGGAAATTTAAGTCAAAGCCTACTCTACCGAACAGTGTTTGAAATTAAGCAAAATACATTGTGGGAAGAGAATTATTAACGATCAAAAAGTGTGTACTTACTTTTGGGACACCCTGTATTAGTCTTTAAATAGCATAGGATTCATTTCCCAGGAAACAAAGCACAGATGAAAAAGCAGTTTGACGAATACTATTCACTTTTTACACCATTTCTTGTTATAACTACTACCGTTCTCATGGACATGGTCACAAGCTCAGGATCCTGCCTTGACGGTCGGACTGAATCAAGCCCCAAGGAAAGGCTTAGAAGGAAGTATTGAACAGAACAAATTACCCAGCTCGCCGTCCATCCCCTTCCCTCAACTCCCCCCCCCCCGTCCTCTCCTAAAGTTTCGCTGAGAATATCTCGGATTGGTACTGAAAGCTAAATTGTTTGCTTAGTTCGTCATAAATGCTTTATGGACTATCGTAGATGCCGCAAGCACTTTCACACCTTGAATGACTTCTGCAAATAAAACGTCGGCATGCGTTTGATAAAAGAGAAAGAGCAAAGATTTTGAAATGTTTACGAGACTCAGACCGTAATCGAAGATGCGAAGCCTCATATTACAAATGGTGCGGATGTGAATTAAATGGGCGCCATGGGTAGAAGAAGAAATTAGGGCTTGTTTAGGCATACCAATGTTTTTTTATAGGAAAATTGAAGCTCGTGTAGTTTTTCGTTATGGGTATGAAATAAAATGGGAGGACGCTCCGCAACTGATTCTGTTCAAAATGCAAGATGAATTCAAGGAAACTACTCCAGGGATTCTCTTCGTTCTGTTCCCTCTGTTTGAAGCAAACTTTTCTTTGGATTTTTTCATGAAATTCTAGTTTACTAGTCTACCCTTTGGTTGTCTTATTTGTTACTAGTTGAATTTCAAAGTCTATCCATCATGTCAGGCTAGTCTACATGCCTTACTAATTTTTCTAAACTAACCTCTTAGCTCTTGAAAGTTCCATTTAGCTATCTGCTCTTTCTTCTCCAGCGGTACTTGGTCAGCTGACCTTTGAGCCAGCTCCAAAGATTCCACTCGCTCTTGCTGTCTTCTAGCAATCGCATCGCGGAGTTCTTGTTGCCTCTAAATTCATACAAAACTCATTGGATAGAAACAAGCGTCTATGAATTTACAAAAAAAAGTTGTAGTGTACAAACCAGCTGTCGTTTGGAATAGAGGTAGAAAAGATAGCTGGCACCCAGCACAAAAAACAAGAGCAGCAGCATTGACACTGAAATTGCACTACGACAGAAATTGAATAAACATACGCAAGCACTGTTTAAATAGTCCACTTTGTAAACAAGATGTCTGCGTGTCTGAATGTTCTGTGAAGAAAGCTGAAGCAAATTAACTATGGAAGATGAATCCGCTCAAATAATCTCCAACGCGCCGGAGAATAGTGGCGTTTGTTGCAACCCAAAATGTGAAGTTGAGTCATTTTACAAAAGTCTTTTGAGGCTCAAGCGCTGTTTAGTCAAGCGCTGTTTCACCAAGAAGCTTTTGAGATATCAAATGAACTTTACTTATGTGTGCAAAGGGGAGACTGTCTCGAACGAATTAGAAATTGATTCATAAATCGACTCGCATTCCCTTTTTTTATCAAGCGCAGATGACAAAACGTACTTACAATGGGTACTTATCAAAGGTTTATTCATAGTGACTTGATAACTTGACCATTTAATGTGTAAACGATTAAGTTTTATTTGCAATTACTTTTTTGACTTTCATTTTCTCTATTTTCATTTTTCTTCCCTCAAACGAAATCGAGAACAAGATTGGCGGAACCCGTTTTATGAGTATGTAACCTTGACAGGTGCTTATTCCTAGTCCTAAAGTAATGCAAATCTAGCAACGAATTTTTTAACCATGCCTTTCGTCCTCTCTTTTTCTGTGAAGCCTATTCATATTTTCTTTGAGCAAGAAACCTGCAGGTCAACTCTCTCTAGGTACTTACACACACGGTAAAAAATCGTGTGTGCAAGTATTTAACCTTGAATTTGAAATCGAGGTTATATCCATCTCAGTTCGCTTACCTCTATAATACCTCTACAATACCAGTTAAAATTAGTGATAAATACGCATTTTCCAGTCAAAAAATAGAGTCAAGTCATAGTGAGGAGTTGGCGACGGGTCGTATTTAATTGTTGTATCAAGTTATCAGTTATCAATTTCATACTTTCGCTAGAAAGATAGTAAAGGATGTTCTCCATGTTATACTGGCTGTCTACCAGTTTTTGATCTTGCGATATTCTATTAGGTTGTCCCAAAAGGAAACTCCTTTTCGAAATAAATCGAACTGTTTTTGTTTTCCTAGCAAGCTTAGGGTATCCATAGAGCGATAGAGCGAGGCAGCACTACAACAAAATGACCGCCAAAGATCCGCCCTAGTCGTACCAGGTAGAATTTGAGCTAAGAACCACAAATTTTTAACTACTATAAAAATTGGTCTTCAATATTGTTACTTTGATCACATATCACATTACACTTGTCTACACTTATGGTTACAGAATCGTATTCATAGCAAGAACACTCAGAGTGGTAGATATCAGAGCACGAGCCCTCCTTTTTACTCAATAAAGTAAACAATCAAAAAAGCTTTGAGAATTTTGTTAGAACTTCTCTTTTCCGGACCACCCTGCCCTGACAAAAAGCTGTAGGTCGTATACAGGTTAAATTTTGCCAATTGGTGCTCAAGGGGCTTATCCCAGCGCAGAAAATCCCAAATCAAAGCTTGGTAATTTGAATGCTGTTCATAAGTTTTACTGCCAAATTATGGAACTGCAGAGTGAAGACAGCTAAAAGTAGAGGGAAGGAGCACTGCTGTGACAAATTTTTCTGCGTTTTGTGAACAATTTATTTAAGATACAATAATTCAATAGGCAGAAAATGTGAGAAAATTCAGTCTTTATTAGGTTGTCCGGAAATTAATTTCCGTCTTGAATTCAAACCACAATAAGTCATAAAAGTCTCACTTCTGAATTGGTTACAAAGCACCATTCGACAGAGCAAAGCAAGCTCTACAAGATGGCAATCCTGATCTTGCATCAGCTTCGATCCAGTTCGAGTTTAAAGTCAAGAACTAAAACGTTTCAAATGCCCGAAAAATTGAGAAAAGTCGTAACTCGTCCATAAAACCCCTAAAAAAATTCTGACATGCTCACGTAAACAATATCCACATAACAAATCTACATCCGTCGTTGGCGTATTTTTTTTCTCGGTTAGAAACCAAGAAAACGAAGATTTTCATGCTTCTGCCAAAGTGCTGCTGTGCTGTTCGCACACTTGTAATTGTATACTACTAACCTGTAGAAGAATAGGTAAAAATTTTCAGCTCCCCACAAGCTCTAGTTTTCGAAAATTTCGAATTTTAGAGTAGATTACCCGACTAAGGAAAGCTGTATTTGATATTTCTATAGTAGTAAAGCTTGTAGCGTGTTGAAAATTTTTATCTACAGTTCTACAGGTTAGTAGTATACAATTACATGTATGCGAACAGCACAGCAGCACTTTGGCAGAAGTATGAAAATCTTCGTTTTCTTAGTTTCTAACGAAAAAAATACCCCAACGACGCATGTAGATTTGTTATGTGGATATTGTTTACGTGAGCAAGTCAGAATTTTTTTAGGGGTTTTATGGACGAGTTACGATTTTTCCCAATTTTTCGGGCATTTGAAATTTTTTAGTTCTTGACTTCAAATTCGAGCTGGATCGAAGCTGATGCAAAATCAGGATTGCCATCTTGTAGAGCTTGCTTTGCTCTGTCGAATGGTGCTTTGTAACCCATTCAGAAGTGAGAAGTTTATGACTCGTTGCGGTTTAAATTCAAAACGGGCATTATTTTCCGGACAACCTAATACTTGTAAATGTTTGGATCTCTGAATACTAACTCATCTGTAACCAAAAGTGTTCAAGAGTAAAAACAAAATTGAATGTGAAAAAACTCTGTTGTATGCTCTATCCACTTCATTACCGATAATTCTGTGAACATGAAAAACAAAGCCGAAAATCGAAGTCGGAAATGGGCAACTGCCACTTTTTATTGAACGAGTGCGCCATGGTTGACCGCGAATATGCAAAAGGTGTGAGAGGGGGCTGGTTTCCGCTGCCATCGCAGGGCGATCATTTTGCGGCGATGATGCCCATCAAATTCGCGGAATGCTTACAAAACGCATTTCTACGGCCCGTATGATCTCTTGGGAAAATACGACAAACAAACACACTGCGATGTGGAAAAGCACCGTTGACTTTGATCTAAATCTATGAATCATATAAGAGCAAAAAATTACTCTACCTGAAGCAAGCATGCATGCAGTACCATAAATGACAGGAACCCTAATCTCACAAGTAAAAGAAGCATCTTTTCCATTTTTCAAGCAAATCAGCCGCACCATGTACCTCAAGAAATGGTCGATCTCATCAGTTCTTTTAGTTGGGAAGTATAGGGTCTTTGGTCGCAAAATAATTTTTGGTGTGGGCAGGCTGGTCGAGTCTAGAAAAAAGACAAGTGCGACTTGTAGTGAAATTAGCGTACATCTTTCTGTTAGCAGCAAAGTCATGGAAAATTTCAGTTCCATTCAGATTGTTTGTTTCTTAATACAGATAAACACTCCAACAGTCCTAGCTGCAGCCAAATCTTACCGATTAAGAATTTATGTTTGTTAAAACGAATTATAATGAGAAGTAAAGCTTTTCAATGTAATGTGTAAATAACCAAAAACTCCGTTTCGTTCCTGCCCTTAGACGGAGTAAAAGTATTTACAGACCTTCCCCGGAACTCCTCAGTAAGGAAGGAAGGTCTGTAAAACTTATTTTCAATAATAAGAAGTAAATTTATTGAGTAGTGTAAACTATGTGTATGAATTTTTTTAAAAAATTTTTTGAGTTTTTTTCTTTTTTCTAAAAATTATTAAGATATTGTATCAAAACTGTGATAGTAATAGAATTACTTACCTTTAAAAGAATATACTTCAATATAGAATATTTATCCTATAATATAAGAGCTCCACTATATATATATATATATGAGCTCCACTATACATAACCACATAACTTTTAATAATATTCAAAATGAAGTATACCATGTTTAGTGTGTTTATAAAAGAAATGATAATGGAATGTATTGAACATAAATCATTCTCAGTGTATAGTTTGAGATACATAGTACAGTTTGTTCTATTCGTAAAGACTTTTGAAAATTTTGATATTATTATTATTGTGTAGATTATATTTATATAATATGAAATCGTTTTTGTGTAAACACTTGTAAACACTAGACAAAATTGTGTCTTTGTCATATCCGTTTGATTCCAAACATTCTTTTAGTTGTAAAATCTTTTCAAGAAAATCTGAGAAGAAAGTACATGTACGAGCAATCCTAAGTGTTTCAGTGTAAATAGTAGCTTTTTTGATTTGCATAGAAATATTTGAGGTGTAGTGTATAAATCGCTTGACTTCGAATTCAAAATTATCTGTTTTGTTATATAACTTGGTTATGAAGTTATTGTTTTCTAACATGATGTCTAGATCAAGGTAACTGCAATGGTTTTTATTTACATGAGTTGTTTCTATTCCTAGTTTGTTATCATAAACTTGTTTGATCAAATCATGTATTTCATTCTCTTCAAAATTGTGTATAATTAACAGGTCATCCATGTATCTAAAAGGGAAAATTTGTTTATTATAATTATAATTATGTGCAGAATAAGTATATTCGTACCAAGATAATGTTAGATCTGCCAACAAAGGACTAAAATTACCTCCCTGAGGAACACCTGTTTTTTGTTTGAATGTGTATATGCTGAATCTGCAGAAGCTATTATCAAGGATATAATCAACATAATATAGTAAATCTTCTATGTTATAATATCTATAATTTGAATTAGCACGTGTTATATCAGTGTAATAGATTTTATTGTGGCCATTGTATGCTATGTATTTTTTATTTGCATTCTTAAAACATAATGAGACAAGGTTTTTTATGTTTGTTCTTATGATGTTATGGGGTAGATTTGTAAACATATTAGTGAAATCTGCAGAATATAAACTCAAGTTGTAAAAATAATTCTTAACTCTACTGCTAATGGTTTAATGCTGCTATGTGTAGCACCAGTAATAAATCTAAATTTGATTGGATTCTTATGCATTTTAGGTAAGCAGTATATCAGTGGTACATTATTGTTATTTTGTAATGGCAGTTTACTTGCATTACAGAATTTTTTTATGTCTA